GTGTCTTCAATCCTTTCATCCTCGTGATTTTCCACCTAGTTCTCTTTCTTCGACTCTAACTTTACTAAGAAATCTTAGCCAAATAAATAAAACAAACTACAAAATGTCAAGAGATGAAATGAGGGGCTTTGGAGATAGGTTATTAAGAAGCTCTTAGGCTGTGTTTGGTTTGAAGCAAAAAGTAGGGAAAGGTAAGAAAATCTTTACAAACCTTGTATAAGAGTCTCTGCCCTTCCCTTCCTTTCCCTGCCTTCTCCTTCAAACCAAAAGCCTTAGTAATAACAGGGGCCTTCATATTTGTATTTGGTTTTTCATCCCATTTTCCTTCCCCTTTTCTAATTAATTTCATTTTTCTTCTTTAATTTGCATTCATTTTCACCATGTCCTTGTTTCTTGCAGAAAAGGCAACATTTGGAGAGGTTCCCATAGATAAGTATTTTTTGCCAATAACCCTCTTTCTCAAGTCCAATCTAAACCCAAGAAGGGTTCTCTTTTAAGAGGTCATCAGGCATGCACGTAAGTTTTAACTTGGCAAGATCAACTTTTAAGATTTTCCTAACAACCTTAGTGATCAATCTAATATAGTTTTCATTATTCAAGTTAATAAGGAGGCAGGGAAAGCTTTGATCAAAATGTTGAATAATCTAAAAGGACAATCCTTGATCTTGAAGAATGAAGACTTCTTTCAATCAAGCCCACATCTGATTCAAATCTTATCAATATACTAGTGGGGACCTGTGTGATGCACGGTATTTATTAAGCGAAAGCTAAATAATAAAAAAGGTCATTTATCAAAATACCTCTTATATTTTCATGGATTTACTAAAATCTACTCTATTGTTAGCATTTTACTAACACCACTTATAATTTGCAATGGATTTATCAATATTCCATTAGATAATAGTGGAAAATGATAGTATTGAACCTAATGTTTATTTAAATAAATTTAATCAAAAGAAAATAAAACTAAAAATACTATTTTTGCCCTTAATAAGACACAGGCATCACTCTATTGGCTATATTTGGTCAATTTTGTTTTCTGTACAAAAAAGTGTTAAGGGTATTTTTGAAATAAAAAATCATGGGCCTAATGGCAAAACAAATACTCCTTAATGAAAGGTTGATTAAGTAAATAAGTTGTAAAATATGTGGAATGTTTTAATAAAATGAAAACTGTAAGGTAGGTTTAAGTAAATATGTAAAACTATAAGGTGTGTTCTAATAAATGACCTTAATAGAAACACATAAGAGTATACAATCGTTTTATATTTTCAACTTTTTAAATAATTAATAACTATTCATATTTTATATACTACTTTTAATAAATTTTTTATAATACAAAAATAACAATAATTAATTTCAGTTAGGTTTATTCATTAAACTGATAAAATTGACCAACCAAATCAATTCAACCCGAGTTGGTTGGTTTTCTAGTATTTTAGGTCGACTTTGGTTCAAAAATTTCTCAATTTGACCAAATTGGATCAGTTTCACTTTGATCATTTGTAAACCGACCCACAATCAAATGGCAAAACAAATATTCCAAGCCACAGGCATTAAAATAGAAGAAGCTTTTAACATGGCAGCAAAGGAGGGAGGATCCCCTAGAGGAATCATAGACTCCAGGAAAGCCATCATCTCATCAAATTTGGATTAATTGAACACAATAGCATAGTGGACAATGGAACCAATGATAATGCCCCATGCCAATGAAAAAGAAAATGGGCTCAACAGTGAGAAATTAATTGGTTGTGGGTCTCATATATTTTATTAGTAGCATGGAAATATATCATTGATTCCACAGCCCGCTGAACAGCTATTGCATTCAACTAATCCTTACTCCATTTCATCTTATCTTGCTATATATGCATCAACCGGCTCTCCCTAGCTACAACTCGGTCCCTTGGTAGTTCTACACTTTTTCAAAGCTCAAATGTTACTTCAACACTATCAAATGACACTTAAAATGAAGGTTCCATAATACTTTTCTCTTTGAAATTGATGTTTTAAAAAATCGACCCAAAGCTCCTTTTTCCCTACAGAAAGTAGCAGGTCAATGGTTCAACCAGCCACGTCTAAAGGGTCAATCCATGGTAAAAATGGTTCTGGACAAAATTATTGGTCCTAGGACCAAAACTTGGCAACACATAGATCACAAAAAAAAACCCAAAATAAAAAAGGTAAAATAAATGCATTTATAAATACATAATTTTATGGATGCACCTACGTACATAAATGTATATTATTAAAAAATAAGACTAAAATAAAACAAATATATATATATATATATTGTAACTTAAAACCTGTGACCAATTGACAACCTCCTAGGTCAACAAGTTGCTAATTAAGTCAACGGTTTTTTAAGTAATGGTGGGCTTTAGAATTAACTCAAACGAAATCATGATTGGGTGAGATGGGATGGAAGGTTAAACCTGCTGTTAGCTAGGTTAATGATGGGTTAAAAACACTGTTTGAAATACATGTTAGATTTCTTAAAAGTGGAGATCAAGTTGGAATTTGGGTTCAGAAACCGCAAATGATGAAATTTTGACATATTTTATATCAAAAACAGACGCCCAGATCAGAAGTTAAAGATATTTGAAGTTTTATCATCTCTTTTGGCCTCTTTTCTTCTTTTTTGGATCATGGGCTTCTAAAAGTCTTTCAGCAACCTGCTTTTGGTAGAGGGGGTGCAGCCCTATTCATGAGAGATGATGAACTATGTGGCTGCTATCAAAATGGAGTGTGCACGCCCAAAATAAATTAGTCTAAAAGAAGAAACTAAGGCCCCGCTTGGTGGACGGGAATAGGGGTCTGGAATCGTAGTTGGAATTGGAATGGGCTATTCTGATTCCAATTGTTTAGTTGGGTGGAATCAGAATTCTATTCTCATTTCTGCTGGAATGGCATTCCCCCATTTCTGCTAGTGATGCTTACTAGCAGGTAGGACTTCTCTCTTATAAATTGACTTGTAGATGATTAAAAAGTTAGGTCAGATAGGGTTGGCTATTGAAGATTAGGTTAGGTTAGAATTGAAAAATATAATCTCAACCGAATCTTGGGTTGGATTAGGGTCAAAACCTAAGGTAAACCAACCCAACACAAGTGTATGCATGTATTATTTATTATTATCATAAATAAAATGGTCATGACGGTTATTGTTATATTATCACTTTAGTGGTAATCAATCAGGTGGTATTCATCAAAATTCACGGGATTTGATTGATCAAAGTTCTTCCGGCATCATAAATTTGTCCAATATATAACTATTATAAAAACAAAAACACAATAAAAAAAATAGCATGTAACTTAATGCCTTTTTATCTCAACTCTCAAAGAAGAAGTGTAGGTTCAAGTCCCTTCAATGTTGTTTTTACTGACAACAATAGATATTTGGCCCAAGGGCTTCATTGAAAACTGAACCGCTGGTTAAAGTTCTTCCGGAGAGTTCGATTGGTCAAAGTTCTTCTGGTATCATACCTTTCCAGCATCATAGATTTGCCCTATATATAATAAAAACACAATAAAAAATAAAATACCATGTAACTTAATGCTTTTTTTTTCTCAACTCTCAACGAAGAAGTGTAGGTTCTGTCTAACTATGACAACGTTTCTTTAAAGGTTAAGATTTTTATATAATATACCCGTATAATAATTCTTTTTTTTTTTTCTTAAGCCAGTATAATACTCCAAAAGCACTAAAACTTTGTCCTTGTATATATATACTGAACAAAATAATTTAGTGCTTTGGCTTTTGGTTGATATAATAATTGTTGAATAGTAAAATAGTCAAAGGTATTGTGATCAATCCAACTTTAGCTCTCATGTAACATATCCATTAAAAGATAGAAGCAATAATTCATTCAATTCAATAATTTCAGTTGTCATCAAATGGCCTCAAAAGAACAATTGGTCCATACCCAATTCAAGTCCAACCCATCCTGATGTCATAAAAATGGGATTGAACAACAAGGGCTGGGCTAGTGTTGATCTCAATCTGGCCTGATTTAAACCTCTAACTACTTTCCATTCAAGATGCGAATTCACATCTGCCCCCCACAAAACATGCCCCAAAAACGTCCCAAAGCACATCCCAATATGTATTGGGAATATCTCCCAATAACGAGTATGGGAAATGTTCTCAATGCACGCTGAGATATGCATATGGGGCATTTTTGGGACACGTTCTGTAGTTGGCAGATGTGAACTCCCAAGATGGGACCCATGTAGCCTTTTAACCATGTCGGCCATAAGGGTATAATAGATAAAAGTGCTTGGTATAACTTGCCTCAAATTAGGAGTGATATCATTCATTGCCTAGTCTGTCTAGACTGTAAATTTTAAGTTCTTGATCTAGGAGTCTAGGGGGTGATCATGGTTTGGGCCCAGTTCTAGGTCTAAGACTTTAAATATTATATATATATATATATATATATGACAAATAATAAATGTATAAAATTTCTGTTATATATTATAAAATATTATATGTGATATATCATATATTTGTATATAATATATTGTATAAAATAAGAAACATATGCACATATAATACTTAATACATGACTGGGCTGTGCCAGGCTACAAATAATCACTCCTATGCAGAACTCCGGGTGTTGGCTGGCCGGGTCAGCCCTGGGCCAAGGTTAAACTTCCTTTAAACGGGTGCTAATTAAGCCCGGGCCCATGATCATCCTACCTCAAATTCTAAATACCATCCAATCGGACCATTAGGGATTTCTTATCCACCCTCTATCCGCCGTGAACCATATATCTTTATAAGAAAAATAAATAGGAGATTTGGGCTCCAATCCCAATCGGACATGCTGTTTTTCAGTTTTCACTTGAAAAGTGATGTTCTCACTTCAACAATATGTAAATTCAAAGAAATTGTCACCAAGTTTCTATGTATTTGACAACATGGGACCCACCAAACGCTCCTTCAAGATTTATAATTAGACCCAACCCGTTTCAAAAATCTCTCTCAATTAAATTCTCTCTCTGTCTCTCTCTTTGCAGCTGCAATCAAACTGCAAGGGAGTAGTAGTGTTAGTAGTAGTAGAACAAATGGAAATGTAATCTGAATTGTGACAAACTTCTTCTTCTTCTTCTTTATCAATAGAGACCCCATACTTTTTGATTAGTTTTCTAACTCATTTTGACTACCCATTTCAGGTTTGATATCAGCGAGATGTTGGCAGCTTTCCTGGCTTCAACTCCTGTGCTCTCCCAGTCATGGCGCCTCTGCATCCTCGCAAATGCTACAGAAGGCGGAGGATTCATGGTTGATCAATTTGGAGACGTGGGTTACATTGCTTTTTCTGGGTTACAATCGTTTACTGGACTGAACCTGGACGGAAACAGCTTGGTGCAATTGAATGATGCCAGTAGTAGTACTACTGGGTTTTCCTTCTCGTTGCATGAAAGCGAAGAAGACGAAGAGCCTCCCATGGTTCATGCTGGTTTCTTTCAGACCTTCCACTCTCTTTGCACCAACAATTGCTTCAAAAATGAGGTTTGATTCTACCTTTCTCGTTAATTCGATCTTCTTGTGTATTGCTAGGGTTCTGAGTTCTGAGTTCTAGTTTACGAGTCACACTGGCGTCAATGGTTGACGAACTGAAATTTTCATGTTCTGGTTTTCATGACTCGTGAGCAATATCGTCAATGGCAATGATCTTAGCTCAGTTGTAGGTTGTTTGATCAAATTGTCACTTAGTAACACATGCAAGTACGTAGAGTTTATCATCAAGGAGGCTAGCTCCAGAGAGTGCTGGGCAATCGCTACATTTAACAGCCATTGCTAGCTCTAGACCCAGTTCAAAAACTGCTGCATTCCACAGCTGATGAATCAGGTGGGATCCATGACATTTGCTAGATTTGAGGACTGTGATCATCCAATCTGGTCAGTTCTAGTCATGAATATAAGATCTATCTCTTGGATGGACAGTGTGGTTATATAAACTACTCTAACCCAGTTTGATTCAGGTCATATATATATGGTTTGCAATTCTTTTGCTTTTTGGGTTTTTTTTTATTTTTTCTAGTTCTTCAATCCAAGGGATATTTTGCCCCTATGGTTCTATCTGACCACACAATTCGCCAAACCGGCCGGTTCAAGTTTAGAGGTTGTTCTCTGAACTATGTGGCCTTATAATTGTCTTGGGCAACGTGCTTGTGGTAGTTGAAAACTTGGTGAACGATTCCATTGATATGACTCGGACTCGGTCGAGTTGGAACGGTTTTGTCCATTGCTTTTTTTTTGGGTAACCATCTCTTATTATTGGGGTATCTGTAATAAAGTTAATTACTATAATCCATTAATAGAAATGTATGTACTTAGAATAGCTGTTTCTTTTAGGAAATGATCTTGATTTGTTATAAGAAATGTAAGGGCCGAGTCTTACTGTGGATTTTGCACAATTGGTACAACCTGGTGGGTTGATTTGGGATGACTACCCAGTCAACTCGACCGACAGTTTTACACCATGGTTGAAATTTTGAAGAGAGGATGAAATACTAAAATCAGAATTTTTTAGGGTTTTGAGAGAATTTGATAACATTGATTTCATTAGAAATGGAACTAAATTTAAAATTAAAGAATGGCATAACTTTCCCTTAGTCAGAACTGACAGTCCTCATCAGTAGTTTGGTATGACCTGACCTCTAATTTCTAAGCATATCTTGAAGGAAAAACTTTGGCTGTTCTGAAAAAAATAAGGTGTTTCCAAGCTTTTTTTTTTTTTTTTGTTTTTTTCAAACAGCCAAACTTTTCTCCTTTTTGGTTCTACTGTTCTTAGTGGTCGGTGGTTGTGATTGGGTGAAGCCTGCATTAGCCTTGTTAAAAGAGAATATTTATGAGGAGTTAAAGTTAAAATGAAAAAAAAAATAAAGATAGAAGTAAAAAAAAGAAAAAAAATAATAGATAATATTAAAGTAAGATCAGTACAAAAAGATATCTAAAAGCAAATATGAAAAAAAAATAGAAAATATAATAAGATAATTAACAATAGTAAAATTATAATAATTAATGGTTAACTTATAAAATATGGTTATTTTTTAATTATAAATTTCACATAATTGTGTATATTATGTATGTATGCTGTGTGTATGTAAATGAATCATCCAAATATGAAATAATTGCATGGATCTGGTTTGGACTTTCAGAGTCCATTGACAGCCCTAGATGATCTTGAGCCAGAACAGCTCAACAGCCTCAACTGGTTTGGTCTGCCAGCCTAGTCTGGCCATATGGGTTTCACTACAGTAGTTGAAAGGTTACCATTTTCTAATTTTTTAAAATACAATCAAAACAACCCACCTTGTTGTACCATCTAATTCATGACTATTTGAATGAAATAACAAAATGGAATTGGCCCTTGAAAATGACCATGGATGCAGTTATCAATCTTAGAATCCACCAAGAATGGTTTATATAGATGTTTATATTATCATACAACAGTTCAAGGACTGAAGTTATTCATTATCATTATGTTTATGCCTATATGCAGATAATAAAATTAATGGAGAAAAGCAAGGCAGTGATAGTTACAGGACACTCAATTGGAGGAACAATAGCCTCTCTTGCAACTCTTTGGTTGCTCTTTCATTTACAATCTTGCTCCTCTCCTCACTCAGTCCTCTGCATTACCTTTGGTTCTCCATTACTAGGTAATAAGTCCTTCTCGAAAATGATCCTCAGAGAAAGATGGGGAGGAAAGTTTTGCCATGTTGTTTCCAAACACGACGTTGTCCCGAGGTTATTCTTTGCTCCCCTCATCCCTGTAGCTCCACAACTAAATAAATTACTGCAATTCTGGCACTTCTTCATGAAATCTCCACAGTTTTGTAGTCTTGAAGCAGGATTATCCAATGAAGAGAAAACTAAATTTTATCAATACATAATGGATCATACTGAAGCTGCTGCAGCTGAAAAAGATGGGTCAAAGAGCTGTTCATATCGGTCATTTGGGTGTTACCTGTTCTGCTCTGAAGAAGGAGCAGTTTGCATCAACAATGCGATGGCAGTTACCCAAATGCTGCATTTGATTTTCACAACAGGTTCAGCTGATTCTTACATAGATAATCACCTCAATTATGGAGATGTTATATTGAAAGTCTCTGGACTATTCTTGAGGAGGAGAAACTTCACACAGGGGGTTCTTCCTGAGTCATGCTATGAAGCTGGGATTTCATTGGCAATGGAGGCCTTAGGAATAGATTGCCAGGTAGTTTTCTGACTCCTCTCTTTTGTCTACTTCTTTCTGTAAGAACCAATTTCTGTGTAAATAAAACAATTGATTGATGGATCGTTCTTCTTGAGCATTTTCCTACCAGGTTCTTTCCTATATCCCAAAACACTAAACTGATCTGAAAATCTTAACAATCACAATTAGCTGAATTTGGAAGTTATTTTGCCTCTAGAAGGAGTAGTACTTCATGAAAGTGTTAATTAAGGTTGTGTTTGATTTGATAGAAAATAACAGAGAAACAGAAAGTTGAGAGAAAGTTCCTAAAGGAATTTTACAAAAATCCTTTAGAACTTTCCCTAAACTTTCTGTTCCTCTCTTATTTTATATCAAAGCAAAGATAGCCTAAGTTGATTAACTAAAGCATCATATTAGCCTGGTCAGGAGCTATATGCCCCATATGTGTTGCACAATATTGGTAAATCTGATTGGTGAGCATTTGTATTTAATAGTTGATCAATAGATGATTGATCAGAATTTGTTATTGTTGTTATATGTTGAAATTGTATTGAAACCCAAGTAAATTGTATGGGTATGACTGCAAAAGTTCTGTATCAGATGCTCTTCAATTCCACTCATACAAGTAGGCTTGAAATCTCTGCTTAATATAGGGGACACAAGGAATGTTGTTGTTCTTATCCTTCTTTTCTAAATAACCTGCAGGACATAATTGCAGGGCCATTGATGGAGAGCCTAAAGTTGGCAAAGCAGTCGGGCCGTAGGCTAAACCTAAAAAGCGCCGAGCTTGCAATTAGTCTAGCCAAGATAACACCTTATAGAGCTGAAATTGAGTGGTACAAAGAAAAATGCGACAGTTCTGCCGATCAAAAAGGATACTATGACTCCTTCAAGCTCAGGGGTGCATTTAAGGGAGGCTTTCGGGTCAACATGAACAGGTTAAAGCTTGCTTTGTTCTGGGATGAAGTAATTAGCTTGATGGAGAGCAATCAGCTACCCCATGATTTTCACAAGAGAGCAAAGTGGGTCAATGCATCCCACTTCTATAAACTCCTTGTTGAACCACTGGATATAGCTGAATATTATAGGGAAAATATGCACATAACTAAAGATCATTATCTAACTCATGGAAGAGAGAGGAGATATTTGATCTTTGATAAATGGTGGAGAGATAGAGAAGATGTTAATGAAAATGATAACAAAAGGACCAGGTTTGCAAGCTTGACTCAAGATTCATGCTTTTGGGCAAAGGTGGAAATGGCAAAGGAGTGGATGCAGAATGCTAAGAATGAGAATGACCCAAATAAGTTAGCTGTACTTTGGGACAACCTGAATAGTTTTCAATCCTATGCTAGGCAACTGGTTGAGAGTAAGGAGGTCTCTAAGGATGTTCTGGCAAAGAATTCAAGCTATAGTTTGTGGTTGGAAGAATGGAAGGAGTTCCAGGCATCAGTGCTGTTGCAAATTCCTAATAGGTTGTGAAGTGGTTATTCATCATTAGGAGATAAGAAAAGGAAGCATTGTAGTTCCATGTATTATACATGTTAGTGATGAATAGGTAGTCTTGTATTGAAATACTTTGTTATCTGTATTGAAGTACTTTTTTTTTTCTTTACTTTGTTTGTCTCAGTTGTACTTGGATTAGGAAAGCTGTTACAGTCCTTAAGGTTAGATATGGCTTGGATTGACATGTTGCAACAGTCTTAAGAATGTTGGTCTATTGAATTTAGGGGGTGTCAATTGGACTGAATTTGGTCCAATCCGATCCAGTCCAATGTGAGTCCATTACAAATGGACCAAGTCCAATCCAATCCGATGATTATTTTGGACCAATCCAATTCAATGTCTGGACCATCGATCCAATCTGTTCAAATTTGTTTTAATTTAGATTGGTTATAACCCAAACCCGGTCCATATTGACACCTATAGCTTCTATCAATGGACTAGATATTGGCTCAATCCAACCCAATCCAATATAAATTCATTACAGATGGACGAGGTCCAATCCAATCCAATAAATACTTTGGACCATTAAGTCTTAACTGCTCCAATTCAATATGTCATGTTGGTCCGTCCAATCCAAAACCAGTCCATTGACACCCCTACTATTGATCAAGCATGTAATAATTGGCAATGGAGCCTACCCCCATATTGCATCTTTAGTTTTGGTAATACATAGTGAGGACTAGGATTCCAGCTATGGAGTTATGGAAAGGGATGACAAGGATTGTTTTGTAGCAACGGGTTTTGGTGCTTCATTAACAGAAGTTATGGGCTTATGTCTTTAAACGATTCGGAAACGGAACCGTTCTGATCACCGTTCTGACAATAAAAATTAAAATATATATATATATATAAAATGGTCAAAAACCGTTGAGCGGGTTAACGGGCCAATAGTTTGACCACCCAGATCAACGAATCATTGACTGATTCAACAGTTTTTTGCCAGGGACCGGATTTGGGATAAAATGGAACCAGTTGCCTAGATGATTCCCAGGCTGATGGTTCAATCGTCCAGGTCAACGAAGGTTCAAAAACCATGCTTTGAAGTGTGGTTTTGTCAATATAGTTTTGGAAATTGACTCTAGTCTGTAGGGTCAGTTCAACTATATATGTAGTAGAGAAAATTGCATGTAGAAAATGATATTTGTTTTCTCATAAAGGATGCTATCACCTTGTCAAAGAATCTTTTTATTTGGTTTTTGGTTTTCTTTTGTTTAGCACACAAAGGTCTATTAGCGCATGGAGACTATATCCCTTTTTTATCCTCTATGGTTAATAGATATATGGTGACTCAAGATTAATATGAAGTCTTGATGATTAGTTTACTAAACATAGTTACATTTTGGATATGCTAGATGATTGAAGTTTTAAATCATCTAATTAATCTTACATCTTTTCAAATTAACAAGCAATTTTGAGCATTCATACTATAAGAGTATAGGACTATTATCTTCAGCTATGGTTAGTTTGATAGCCTAAGGTAAGATCCACATGGGCCTTTAATTTCACCCAATTTGAGTTGTTTCTAAATAGAAACTAATACTTGGTCCATGGGACCAAATTGAACGAATTTCATGAAACCCTTAGGCCCCATTTGGTATTGTCCATGCATATTTTTGTTCTTGAGGAACTTCTTGTTCTGGAACAATGACCCTGTTTCTTATTCCAAAGAAACAAGTGACTTGTTTCATAAATTGTTCATGAGGAACATATTTCTATTCTATAGAAATAGAAATGATGTTTGGATAGCCCTAATTCTTTAGATCAATTTACATAACATGTAAAACAAATAAAAGGGGATTGGATAGTTGAACTAACAAGATTAAAATGATCCATTTCCCCCCCAATTCTCATGTGTACCATATGCACATGTGTGTGTAAAATTTAAAAGACACGTTCAGAGCGCACTGTCACGGGGTGACATAATTAGGCGCTTGGCTAGAGGTTTTTTAGATGTCTCTTGAGGCTTCTAGCCAACTTTGTATGTTTTTGGGCTATTCTGAAGCGTTTTGGGGCATTTTAGAGTGTTCTCCATATGTCTAGAAAGGGTTGGATGCTGGTGGAACCCTCTGGAACCTTGTGGAACATTCTAGGTTTGTGTGGAATGCCCTAGGATAGTTTGAAGTAATCTAGACTTGCTCGGGAGTGTTCTTATACCTTATGGAATGGCATCCCCTAGAAGAGTGTAGAAGATAGATTGTTTTAGAGGTGCTTCTAGATGATGCCAAGTATACATAGTTTTAGAGGATGCTTTGAGTGGGTTAGTGTATAAATTGGGGTCTCCTCCCTCATTTGCAAATCATCCAGGGTTGTGAGAGCATTCTTTGAGTTATAAGCCTTATTCCATAGTGCAATACAATATTTTCCTCTTACATTACTTGATGTGCTCTTGTGCGCCTAGTATGTGTCATTAACACTTAAACAACTTAACAAGAATGATCTTGGACATACAGTTTAGTTGATTTGCTTGAAGGGCCAAGTGAGTGCAACATGACTTGGCCAATGAAAGCGATCGGGTCATGACAATACACATTCTCAAGCCATGGTTTCAAAGAAACACCAATTTTGTCATTTCTCTAGAACACGCCAAACACGTTTCTGTTCTATGGGGAAATCTGGAACACTAGAAATATTCCCATGGAATAATACCAAACAATGCCATTGGGTTTTCACTTTTAACGAAAAGCAAAGCCTTATTTCTTTATGAAAACCCAATAGAACTGATAACTTTATCCAAACAAGAGGAATAAAATTCAGTCATGTTATGATCAATTGGTCTTCTAATCTTGGTTAAAAAACAATTTTTTGGGTTAGAGTTGGGTCAGCCTTGATCAGGTTCTGTGGGCCATGTTAAGCCCGACATGCTAACATTTTTTCTCTTGGTAAAGACCTACTCACATTGCAACATTGAAATATTTATATATATGGGGTTATATGGAATGAGTGGCATGGGTAAGGGTGTTCACAGTTTGGTTAACTGAATCATGAGCTAATTTTTTATATCAATCTGGGAACCGAAGTCGAACCAAAATCTATCGGTTAACTAATTGATCAGTTTGGTTTTTAACCAATTCAGTCCATTTTCTCGATTTTTATATGTTTAATATATATTATAAAAGTATATAAATACTATAAACATATATAATATATTATATTATAAATAATTTAATATATATATATTAATATATATTAATATATATATAATATATATCAGTCGGTTTGGTTGACTGTCAGTTTTTCTTTTAGGTTAACTAACAACCTAGTACCACTTGTTTTTCAGAACACAAAACCAAAACTGAATCGATTGGTTTGATTAACCGGATTTTTTTCGACTTCCTTGATTTGGCTCAGTTTTTCGATTTTTTGTTGAGAACCCTAGGCATGGATTTGTTAGGGTGGGGTGTAACTCAAGGTTGGCCCAAATTAGCATTTTACACTATTTTGACTCGGGCCTTTAGGCCAAATTCATTCAAATTTTGGCAAAAGCCTAACCCAAACCTAATGGGTGCAACCATGCAACTTGGGCAGGGTGGAGGTCAACCCAAGCCTGATTCTAAAAGGTGCAAACCTTGGGTTCAGGCCTGGTTCAACCCAAGCTTAACCTAATACAACTTGGACCAGGCTCGGGCTTAATTGGATTTGGGCAAATTGGGCAGGTTTGAAAGAGTTTATGTACATACCATCTTTCATTGGGCTTCTTGGTCCAATTTAAGGGCAAAATAGATAAAATGTATGTATTTATTCGAATGGGCTCAGGTTAAATTGGGCCCGAATTGGATTAGGCCGGGTCCAGGATCAGTTCAACCCAAACCCAATCCAAATTTAAATTAGGCCCCAGTCTCCAGGCCCAGGACCAGCCCGAAAACTTAGGCCCAACATGTTCAAAAACTCAGAATAGATCAGGTCGGGCTTGGGTTCGACCCGCCCAATTGCACCTCTCTAATAAAACCCTAGAGTCCAAGGAATCCAACCTCATGTTTTCGTCTTCAAGAACAGAGTACCGACGGCCGACGGATTTTCCTTTTGATTCTTCAATTTCACTTTTTTGTTCATGTTTTCGTCTTTGATTTTGATTGAGAACGACGGCGACCGACAACGAACTCGGCATTCAAAAGCAGTGTTTACCCAAGTTTTCATCTTTGCTCAAGGCGACTACCCATGAATCCGATGACCCAAGGCAGCGGCGACCACCATTAAATCCGGCGACCCAATGCAGCGGCACCACCCTCTTTAAGTCTATCGGCCAAAATTCAGAGGGGCTTTATGTAGCATTGAACCAATTACCACCCTCTTGGGTCTGGCGACCAGAAGCAGCGACTTTACGCCTTCACCAGCGAGCGAACGGTAAATATATCTTCTGATTTAGGTTGAAATAATCCTTTTATTCAACTCAATAGAACCTTAATCCAAAATTCCGGACGTATTTAGGGTCAGTTACATGAATCTTTAGATCATTTCTTACAAGTTCAGTCCATGTCTTCTTTGGCTTTCGGCATGCACTTTTTGAGCCTTCTAGAGAAACTTTCCAAATTCCAAGTTCTTATTCAATTGCAGAGAAAAAATCCAGATAACAATTTAGGACTTTTTGCAAAATAAATGACCATAAACTATTTTGGGCTTTCACGGTCTTTCTCGAGGCCACCTGCTTCTTTACTGAAATAAGTTTTGAATTTTGCTGATCGTGATTTCTTTGTTGCTCCATCGAATTCATTCGAATTATCTAAAATTTTAAACCAGGGTTTCAGTAGTTAAGTGGTTTCCATTGAAAATAGCCAACATTGCTCTAAAGCCAATCCAGAAATCATTATGTAGACTTTTGGAGGAGAAATTCATCTCGTTGTTGCAGACATGTAAGGATCTAAAACACCTCCAGCAGATCCAAAACCAAATAATCATCCATGGTCTTGAACAAAATGAATACGTCCTGCCTAAAATTGTTGCAGCATGTGCAAAATGGAATAAGATGGGGTACGCCCGCCTGGTATTTGATCAAACTCCGGACCCAAATGCTATCCTCTGGAATGCGATGTTCAAGGGGTATGCAGAGAATAAATTCCATAGAGAGACATTGGTTCTATTTTGCCAGATGAAGAGTAAGGATGTCAAGCCAAATGCTTATACCTTCCCCTTTGTGATCAAATCATGCGGGAAGATCCTTGATTTGGGTGGAGAGGAAGTGCATTGCTGTGTAATTAAAAATGGGTTTGAAGCAAACTCATTTGTAGGGACTACATTGATTGATATGTATTCGGAAAGGGGTGCAATTCAGTTAGCTTATCAGGTGTTTTCTGAGATGGCCGCAAAGAATGTGGTTGCATGGACAGCAATTGTAAGAGGGTACATTATATATGGTGATGTTGGATCTGCACGCCTCCTCTTTGACCTGACACTTGAGCGTGATGTCATTCTCTGGAATACTATGATCTCAGGTTATATTGAATCCAAGAATCTAGTGGAAGCAAGACGACTCTTTGATGAGATGCCAAATCGAGATGTGATGTCTTGGAACACTATGTTGACTGGATATTTTAACAATGCAGACCTTGAGTCAGGTGAAGGGCTTTTTGAAGAAATGCCAAACAGAAACATATTCTCTTGGAATGGTTTGATTGGAGGTTATGCCCTCAATGGTCAGTTCTTCAAGGTTTTGAGTGCTTTCAAGAGGATGTTAATGGAGTCTGATGTTACACCTAATGATGCAACACTTGTGAGTGTTTTGTCTGCTTGTTCAAGGCTAGGGGCTCTAGATTTGGGTAAGTGGGTGCATGTCTATGCAGACAGCAATGGGTTTAAGGGGAATGTATATGTTGGCAACGGATTGATTGATATGTACGCAAAATGTGGGAGCATACAAAATGCTATCAGCGTGTTCAACAATATGGTTTCAAGAGATTTGATCACTTGGAACAGCTTTATTGGTGGGTTGGCTATGCACGGACATGGGATTGATGCTCTGAATGCTTTTGATCAGATGAAAAATGCTAGGGAAAGACCTGATGGAATCACCTTTGTTAGCATATTGTCGGCTTGCACACATATGGGTCTAGTTGAAAAAGCATTTCTGTATTTCCAATCCATGGTTGATGACTATTCCATCGTGCCTCAGATTGAACATTATGGATGCATGGTTGATCTTCTAGCTCGAGCTGGTTTGCTCAATGAGGCTATGGATTTCATAAATAAGGTGCCTATTAAAGCTGATGCTGTTATATGGAGTGCACTGCTTGGGGCTTGTCGGATATACAAAAATGTCCAATTGGCTGAGCTAGCTCTTGAACGGCTTATTGAGCTCGAGCCAAAGAACCCTACAAATTATGTGATGCTTTCAAATATATATGCGGATATTGGGAGGTGGGGAGATGTAGCTCGACTGAAAGTTGTTACAAGGGAGATGGGGGTTAGAAAATTACCAGGGTGTAGCTTGATTGAGGTCAATGATAATGTTACTGAATTTTACTCGTTAGATGAGAAGCATCCTCAGAGAGAGGAGATTTATGGGGCTTTGAGGGGATTGACAGAGCTATTAAAGCCATCCAATTATGACGTAGACCTAAAGGAATTTGAGGAGGTAACATGAAAAAAATAAAGAGATGCCATGAACAATGAAAGCAAAAACTACTCCCCAGCCTTGTTAACACATTGATTGAAAATTGAAAGCCTTTGGTTTATTTGGAAAAATAGAAATAATAAAGTTTTCAAGAATTCCGCGCTCCCTCCTCAGCTCCTACTTGATAAAGCTATTGCATTGGCTAAAGACTTTGTGGCCATTATTAATGAATTAAATGCTGTGTTGCTGATAAAAAAAGAATTCCTAGCTATTGGGAGGGACCTCTCTCTCCTTCGGGGTGAGTTGAAGAAGATAATTTGTATCCAATGGATCCCCTAGCTGAGAGTTTCATTAAAATAAACTTGGATGCATCCAAAAAAGACAATGGGGGATGTGCCATTAGGTGGGCTTGCTTGCAATCCTAGTGGCTGTGTGCTTAGTATTTTTTTCCAGGGCGGTTGGGTACTCAACAGTAAATGTTGCTGAGGCTTGGGCAGCTTTGGAAGCTCACAGGTTGGCGCATGCTTCAGGAGGGAAGCAGTAATCATTCAAGGTGACTCAAAGGTCATGGTGGACTGCCTGAAGAGAAGAGTAGATGAGTAGATCCACCATGAAATGTCAAGCCCATATGATTCCTGTTTTGAGATTAGCCGTTGTTTAGCCTAAATGTTTCGGTACTCCCATGTTCTTTGAGAGGTGAATGCTGCTGCTGATTGGTTGGCTGATGCGGGGCACAATGACCAGGCCTTTCATCCATTGGTTCAAATGGTTGTTTTGAGCTAGTTTTGTTGTAGTGATCCTTGGGGTCGGGCTAGTCCAGGCATGTGTAGTCCAGTTTCTTCTCCTTGATACCCAAAACAAAGTTTTTCTCCACATTTTTTACCGTATCAAGTTTTCTCATCCCTTGAATCTACAGATAATTAATGTTAAATTTATACAGCACTCCAGTTTTGTGTAGATAATCCTGACTTCTGAAATGACTATTCTCTTGTCTGCAATTTCCCTGTTTTGAATTATATGTTTACTAGCAGTGACCCATGTGATGCATGGGCTTTTTTTTAAATGTAATTTTAAGGAAAAAAATGAAGTAATAGTGATTTACTAAAGTTTTCTTTTCCTTTTTAGTTATTGAGCTTCAAACTTATTCCTTTTTATATAGCCAAAAAATGTGCTTAACATGAGATCAAGAACCAAGTTAAAAAACAATTTCAAAATTGAACTGATGAAGATAACCAAAGACTCACTTTAAGTGTTTTTTATTGTCGAACCAAAAGAATCGATGACACAAATTTTCATTAAATTAATAAAAGAATAGAGAAAACCTAATAACTCATGGGAAGGAGAAGTGGTTTCAGAAGAAAATTGGTTCACCCCATATACTAAAAGATATTCAAGAGGAATTTAATGGGGAGGGGAGATGTTTTACAAACATTGACTATCAAGGAGAGGGAGAGAGAGAGAGAGAGATGGTGTTATTAAATGAAGACCCATGAGGGTTTTAATTTTTCCTTGTTATATTTTTAATGATTCCATTTAAAAATAAACATGCACACGTGCAAGAAAGGAGAGTAGGAGAAGGCACATGTGATCTTATGGTGAGAAGACACCTCACCTCCCATCTTTCCTCTTTATCTTCATATATATATATATATATATACCAATTGGTCAGAAGTGTAGTTACGTATGATGATGATGAAGTAGAATATCAAGACTATGAAGGCCACATGTGTTGTCTACAGGTCTACAGCAGTCTTCTTTGTTTATGGGAACGATGGTTATTCCTTTAATGCAAGTATAGATGCCACCAAAGTGAAGAAACTTCATACTGTTATATTTGTCCATGACCAAACCATTTGAAATTTGGAATCAGATGGTTAATATTTAATCCGCTGAACTGTCAACAATTGTATGTCACTTTTATTTAATTTTTATTTTTTGAAAAAGGTAATTGTATATTAGTATAGATCAAAAGAAATTGATGTACGTGAGGGGATGTACATACTAACTACGTTACAAAAAACACTCCCCCATACAGGGTTCATGAAAGCAATGAATTGTTGCCGTACAAAAAGTCCATGTAAGCTCTTGATTTGGCAAGATTTATGTGTAAAAGAGCCACAATGTCCCTGGCTTCTAAGAGGTAATGTGCTACAGTGCTAGCATCAAGGCCCTCCCTGATTTCTGACATATGCCATTTTTGGCTTACCCCTAATGCTTCAGCTTGCAGCAAATTATTCTTATGGGTGCTGTTGATGATCTCCTGAAAAAATCCAGACTGATTGCCTTTACAACCTTAATTCAGGCCAAAATCAAGATCAGGAGGGATTGATTAATACTGATATCAAGATGAACACAGTTTGGTCCATGTTGATTGGGAGTTGAGGAAATGTTAGACATTGAGGGGGCGTTCTTTTTTGGATTTTGAGAAGGGGAAAGTTGGTCAATGGGATTTTGATTCCCATTGATCAAGAATCCCATGTTCTTTTTTTAGATTAACGTGAGAAATAGGAAATAAGTGATACCCATCTCCTAGGTGGGTAAGTAACTTTCCCATCAGGGGGAAGTTTCTAACATTTGAATGGAACAAAAATGCCCCTTTTAATAATGGATTTTTATGGTTAAAATGGTTATTTCCTTTTTTACTTGGGAAATAAAAGAACATAGGTAAATACACTTACGTGGGTAAGTGTTTCCCAGGAAAATTTACCTAGGTAATTGCATTCACCCGAGTAAATAACTTACCGAAAAGAGAGCGGGGCCTAAATGAAATAGAACTACAGTTTAACTTCAATAGCTAGTAATAGATCCATGCACAATGAAGTGATACTGTGACCAGATAGTTTCCCAAGCTAAACTCTTGGCATTTCTATCATAATGTAGCCAACAAATCCCGTCTTTCTTGAATAAATCCCCTCTTCGTGGATATTTTCCGCATTGCTGACATTATCCCATTGCACATTGCATGTGATTGATTATTTGCTTGATTTTGGTATTACAAATAAACCATTGTTTTAGTATTTTGGACATGGGTCTTCAAGCACAATTGTACATTACCTTTGCTAGGAGATCAGCAAGACCAAAATTATGATCACATATGGCTTTTAATTATCAGCTAGGATTACCTCCTTTGTGTTGGGAGAAACATTAAAACGAAGTTTCTTCCGACAATTGGTTTTCAAGTAAGTCAAGACAAACATTTATAAGATAAATAACCGTACAAAATAGTATGATGGGACAAATGCCCACACAGTGATGACCTGGCACTGTTTATCAAATAAAGGGAAACCATACCAAACACCTTATTAGAATTTAGACCTATTCATGGGCTAAGTAGCCCGATGGGTTGGCCCAGCTTGGCTTGTCTTAAATCAGGCTTGGACAATTTTAAGCCCGTGGGCTTGGACTTAGGCTTAGGCTCTAAAAACTAGGCCCGAAAACTCGGGCTTTTCCAAATAAGCCCGATCCAATAATATTACATATATAACAGGAATTTAATATATATTTTAGTAACACATAATATATTATATGATGATATAAAATTAATAGCAAAAAAAAGTATTATATATATATATATATATATATTAAATGTATAAAATATTATATAATATATAATATATTATTAAGAATATATAATTAATATGTTATAAAATACCTATCAAAGTCGGGCTTCAGGCTTTATATAGGGTCAGGCTCGGGCTCAAGATCTAGGTATGGTTGGGTAGGGCTCGGGCTCAGGCCTAGTATTTTTTTGTTTATAAAGAGGCAAAGCCTGGCCTGACCCATGAACAAGTCTACATTTTATTAATAATTGGTTTTATTATGTGATTTGACCTAGTTGTACAAGGTAGGCTTAATGAAAGTTTTCACGACATGGAATGGATTGAACCAGTTTCAGAACTCAAAAGCTAGGTAAGGTTGGGCTGACATTTGGATTCACTTGCACCTTAATTCTGTAGAGGTTAGTAGGTGTAGTGCATTTTTGGGTGGGAGAATTTGGGCAAAGGTGTAGTAGGGGTATCAAATCTCCTATCAACAAAATATATTCAACACCCTACTAACATGATCTATCACCGCACATCCCATACATGGCGAGCCCCACTTTTATGTGTGGTGTCAAGATGATGTTGGTAGGTTGATGGAATGTGTTCCCTTTGGCAGGAGATCCCAACTCGCCCATGACTATATTATCTCTTGCTTTTAGACCCTTAGAAGGCAATCTTATGATTTCAGCCATGGATTTGGGGATTTAGTATAAAAGTTGGTATTCCAGTGCTTTTGGGCGTTCTAGATCATGGAAAGGGTCCAGTTGGTAATACTCTAGGTTATAATGGTAGCTTATAGTCAAGCTTGTGCTTATAATGTAAGAAGGGAGGATGACTCTTACATGCATTTAGGAAATAAGCCCCAACTAGCGAGGGCATGATGATAAATTCGAAGGAAAAAACTGGAAATGTAGGAATYAATAGAGAAATTGCATGTCAGGAACCACATTGGATGATTAAGCATGGATAGAAAAAGTAGTTTAAGGTGTGATACATAAGCCAGAAAGYAAAAAAAACAAAGCAATAGTTATGAAGTTCATAAAGATGTTGTTAGGTGCTTAATAACTGCATATGTGTTATCATGAAGGTGACAACGCTTCAGTGAAAGCTGATTCATTTGTAAGTGTTGAAGCAAAGAGGGAGTTTTTAAAGAATGTTCTTGCCCCATTTATTTGATGAGCTAGTCTCTCCAACGTGAACTTGCCCAATGCCTGGAAAAGGAAAATTCCATGTAAATTGTGGGCAATATTGTCAAAGTGTGTTTGTTGTCACACTGAATTTTAATATTCTTTCATGGAAGGAAGGTTGCGCTTGTTGGGCAAGTTTGATTATTGTTCAAATATGAAATATAATGAACAAAATAATTGTATGGTTGCAAGAATCAGACTAAAAATTCTTAGACTGGTGTGATTGTACCATGAATTGATTAGTGGCAAAAGCGGTCTCTGACATGTCGAAACCCTAGGGAAAAGTTTAAGTGAAAGTAAGTTCAATAAAATGATAAAACAAAAACTATGTCCTTAAAATATATACATATATTTTAATATTTAGACATGAAAAAAAGGAAAAAGCTCAAATAATATTTTCAAATATAAAATACACTAAAACACAAAAATTACAAAAAATATAAAAAATTATAGAAATTGCACACAAAATAAAAAGTTATTTTCAAATTATAGAAACTATAGAAATTGAAAAATAAAATCAGAAAATAAAAGTTGTAGAAAAACACCAAAAATTATAGAAAAACACAGAAATTGCAAATAAATAAAAAAATACAAGAAATTTTATAGATGGTAGAAAATAAAAAAATGTAAAAAAACAGAAATTATAAAAAATAGTAGAAATTATAACAAAACACTAAAAATGTAAAAAAAAAGAAAAAAAGAAAAATGGAAAATGAAAAAGACCCTTTTCCTCTAACTCGCCATGCAAGGGTGATTTGGCCGTAAAAATTGTTACTTATTCTGACATGGACACCTCTGTTAAGAAACATTAACGGTGCACTAACAGAAGGTGAGTTTTGAAAATAAAAATTTACTAACTTGGTAAGTTTTAGATGTTTTGAAAAGTTGTAGTGAGTTTAAGAGAAATAGTAAAAACTCATGGTGAGTTTTTGACAATTTCCCTTAAAGAAGGCTATTTTGAGCTATAATTCAGTGTGTTACATGCAAACCAAAATCTCCTATAGACCTGCTTCATATCAGTAATACCAACCCACATTTAAATGGACTTAACTTCAAAATGTAGACAAGATGTAAAGATAAAAGTATATAGGAAAGATAATTAACATCAATTTAATCAAAATCTCTATCTGAATATTGTATGCTGCAAGAAATATAAGACCAAACCACTAGAGAAAATTATGGTTTTGATCAAAAAATTCAAAATGC